TCGTAATATATGAATGCAGTAGCCGGAATTCTTTAACGTTGTGCTAGGGTAATGAATAATCATACAGTCACGTTGATTAATTGACGCTACGGCTTCATTATATCGTTTTTATATCTAGTTTAAGATCCCAAGTCCGTTTTTCTATGTGACAAACGCATGTCCCCCCGACAGACAATCTGCGGAGGTGGAGTATGTGGTGGAGTCGCCTCAGCGAGATGACGAGGGGCGCTACACCTGCATCGCCACCAACAGCGCCGGCAGCACTTCGTCCACTGTCTTCCTGGATATGAAAGGTATGCGGTTCTCTCCACTTGCTAAAAACCATGGTTAATACCTACGTTACTTCTCCATAGTAGTATAATCCTTTGAGTGTAAATAGAAGTAGTAACCACTGAGTTCCTGATTTGGTAATGTAGACAGACTGATTTAGTATCGTTTTAACCCATTCTGTCGATTTATTAATCTGTCGAGGGGATAACAGTATCCTTATTCTCCGTAGATTAAAATAACTAGATAGAGTTACAGTAACTTTGTAGAATCCCAATACGCAAACCGGTCTTTGGTACGACCCGGAAAACACAGCGATTCCTAAACAACATCTTCCCCTATATTCCTCTTGTTTATTGTAGACTTCCCTCCTGTTGTAGTAGCCTTCCGTTTCCTCCTTGTTGTAGCCTCGTTGTCTCCCTGTTGCCCACAGAACCACCCCCACAGATCACAGCCGCCGAGGAGGTGTCTCTGCCGCCCTCCCGCCCCGCCGTGCTCACCTGCGACGTGTATTCCACCGTGGAGCATAATGTCACGTGGTCCCGTTACATCATCAAGGGACAGGTTCAGGACTACTTCGGCAAGACAGAGACCAGTAGGTGACTCACTCCTACGGTAGGGAGGCTCAGACCTGCTCTCTCTCTGGGCTGGTGCGGGGGACATGAAGAGAACATGAAGTCACGCTCTTCCGAGTGTAGATTTCTCTTCGTTTACAAACATTAACATTATTTTTTTCCATCACATTCTTGGATTTTGATTTTCTTAATTGATGAAAAGAGGCATACATCATTTATTTTTTCATTGGATTTTTGAATTGTTTTGCGTAATCAATAAAAACGAATAATTCTATTTATTATGACGACGGTGCCCTTGAATCCACACAAAGAACAGGTAAAAAGAGAAACAGATTCAATTCTTACTACATTCAGAAATTTGACTCACGTTCTCGCCCGCAGTTGGAGAATTTGTGAACGTGAAGCACGTGAGAGGTTATCGCATGCTGTCCAACACGTCACTGCTGCTGGAGAACGTCACGTCCAACGACGAAGGGTGGTTTAGGTGCACAGCTGCCAATGAAGGTGAGACGCGAAGACGTTCTGGAATTGAGTGTTCTTTGACGCCGAAGTGTGCTGGAGTGAAGGCCGTTTCAATACCTTGTCACGGTACATAGGTTTGTTCGTATATTGTTAATGGTTTTGATTTGTTCTTAATGGTTTCTTTTCCCTTCCTCTTATTTTTTTTCTTTCGTTTTCTTTTTCTTTCTCTTCTTTTCCCCCTTTCCTGTCCTCTCCCTCTCCCTCTTTCTCTCTTTCTTCTTGCCCCTCCTGCACTCCCTCTCCCCAATCTTTCTATACATCTCCCTCTCCCTCTCCCTCTCCGTCTCCCTCTCCGTCTCCCTCTCCGTCTCCCTCTCCCTCTCCCTCCCTCCCCCTCCCTCTCTCCCTCATCCTCTCCCTCTCGCAAACAGGAGGCCGCTCGTCTCGCGAAGTGCACGTGTCGGTCCAGTCTCCGCCGCAAGTGACGGTGGTGCCGGAAGTGGCCCCCTTCAGCGCCGGAGACAACGTGACGGTGTCGTGCGTGGCGAGGGGATTCCCCGAGCCGCAGGTGTCGTGGCGGAGGTACGACGTGCAAATCGGCAGGTCGTACACCCGCGTGAGGGAGGACGAGGGGCATGAGCTGCACGTGGCGAATGCGGTGCATGACGATGAAGGGCCGTACGTGTGCATGGCCTCCAGCTCGGCGGGATCCGGTGAGGCTGATTTTGCAATTTGGTATATGGCCTGTTTGCAATAAATGTAAGAAAACGGGATTGAAATAGAAGTGGACGTTGATAAGTTTCGGTTCTGAATATAAGGATCGCTCCAAATAAACCCACAATCCATAAAAAAGTAATAGAAATAAAATACTGAAATAAAACTCTAAAAAAAAACATAACCACATAAAGACTAAAAAGTAAAAACACACACACAAAAAAAAAAAACAAACAAACAAACAATACACACATCCAAACTTCTTAACCAGAAAACGCTATAACTCGAACCCCCCCTTCTTTCTCTCTCATTCCCCCCTCTCTCCCCCTCCCCCCTCAGCCGAAGCCACGGTGACCCTGGCCTTCATGGAGGAGCCGAAGGTGATGCCGGTGCAGGACCAGGTTCTGGCAGCCAGCGGGGACACGGTCAGGGCCGGCGCTTTGTTGGGTTCTTGTTATGGGGATTAGTGGTTATTCTTGTATGATTATTAGTGTCTGTTATTTCATATTCATTATTTTTTATTTTTGTATTATTATTATTGTTTATTATTTCATATTCATTATTATTTATTCTTGTATTAAACTTATTGTTTGTTCTTGTATTATTATTATTGTTTATTATTTCATATTCTTATTTTTTATTCGTGTATTATATTTATTGTTTATTCTTGTATTATTATTATTGTTTATTCTTGTATTATATTTATTGTTTATTATAATATATTATTTATTGTTTATTCATGTATCGTTATTATTGATTAATATTGTATTATTATCATTGTTTATTCTTGTATCTTGTTAATATCATTACTATTATTTTTTATTACTTTTTTATTATTATTATCATTATTATCATTATTGTTGTTGTTATTGTTGTTACTATTATATTTATGATGATTATTATTATTGTTATTGTTAGAATCATTATTATCATCGTTAATATTATTGTTATAATAACAAGCAGTAGTAGTAGTAGTGGTAGGAATAGAATTGTTATTACCATTATTGTTATTAATAATGTTATTTTGATTGCTGTTATTAACATTATCGTTATTATAATCATTATTATCATTATTATTAATATTACCCTCAACATTACCTTCATTACCATTACCTTTGTTTATCCTTCAGGCTTGGCTACAGTGTTACGCCGAGGGTACACCGTCGCCTTCCATCACCTGGCTGAAAGAGGGGAAAGTCGAGGTGGCGCCCATGTCCTTCATTGAGGTGAGGGGAGAAGATGGGGGAAAATAAGGGGAAGGGAGGGGAGAGGGAGAAGAGAGATGGGGAAGGGAGAGGATAGTCGAGGTGGCGCGAGGGGAGAAGGGGAAAGGAGGGGAGAGGGAGAAGGGAGATGAGGAAGGGAGAGGAAAGTCGAGGTGGCGCCCATGTCTTTGATTGAGGTGAGGGGAGAAGATAGGAAAGAGGCGAAGGGGGAGGAAGAGAAAGGAAAGGGAGAGGGGGGAAGAGAAAGAGAGGGGAAAGGGGTGAAGGGAGAAGGGGGAAAGGAGAAGGGAGAAAGGAGATGAGGAAGGGAGAGGAAAGTCGAGGTGGCGCCCATGTCTTTCACTGAGGTGAGGGGAGAAGAATGGGAAGGGGCGAAGGGAGAGGAAGAGAGGGGGAAGGGAGAGGGAAGAGAGAGGGGAGTGGAGGAATGGTAGGAGGGAGGGGGAAAGGGGAAGTGATGGGGTGATGGGAAAAGGGGGAGGGAAGAGGAGAAGGGGTAAAGGGATAGGGGATAGGGACGAGGGGAGACCGGGAAGAGAGGGGAGGGGGGTGAAGGGCGAAGAAGGGAAAGGGGTAAAGAGAGTGGAAGAGAAGGGAAAGGAGTAAAGGGAGTGGAAGAGAGGGGAAAGAGGAAAAAGGAGAGAGGGGATGGGAGAGGGGTGATGGGAGCGGAAAGGGATAGGACAGGGAGGGGAAGCGTAGGGGAGGAACGATTCTCAAATATTTGTAATTCAAATGTGATTAACGAAATTATCCTTAGCTGATATGAATTTACGAAAAGAGATAATTCAGTATTTGAATTTCTTGGCCTTTGATTTTAACTTAGTGCCCCCTCCCAACAACATCATCCGAACACAAAACCCCCAACGTAACGTTACTCTTCCACGAAACAAACACCGCTTATCCATATCAACGCGATCACATTTCTCCTATCGTAGGTGGAGGACGGGAACCTCAAGATCCACGGTGTGCAGAGGAGCGACGCTGGCACCTACACCTGCGTGGCATCGAACGTGGCTGGCACTTCGCAGGCGAACGTGGTGCTGGAAGTTGGGTCGCCGCCCTCGGTCGTCCAGGCGCCTGCAGGTACGCTGGATGGGGCATAGTTATCGCCATTACCGCAAATTATGCGAATGCGATGATGGAGCCTAGACTTCGGATTAAGATGTCTACGTCTTATTCATTAACCATAACAACGTCTGCACTCCAGTAAAATGTTGCAAATCTGTTACTGGTATTACAATTTTGTGTAAATTCTTACAACATGATATACATGACATCATTGATGACTAACTCCAATCAACGCTGAAATCGTGGCTCTGGCGTTGTATTCGTAGATCAAGCTTGATCGGGACGGTTGGCTTTTTCCAATTCAAAGTTTGGAGGGGATTTAGTTATTCTCTCGATGAATTACATTAGACAGTTTATCTGCCCGGTTCGTATGATCTACCTGAGAATATCTGTCTGGTTCTTTATGATCTACAAAAGTAAATATATTTTTCTATTTCTGTATTATCTACATAAGAATATCTATGTTGTTTTTTCTTCGTAAAAATATATGTCTACGTATCGGTTAGTCAGTCTATCTACGTATCTATCTGTGTTGATTTAGTATTACCTAACCTACTTACTAGTATTTTTTCAGTTTTAATAAATATTACAAGCTTAAACCAAGGGCCCCAACCCGGCTTCTTGCAGACACCGTCGTGGAAATCGGCAGCACGGGCGGCCTCTCGTGCTATGGCGTGGGCGTGCCAGAACCCAGCATCACCTGGAGGCGAGAGGACGGCGCCCCCCTTCCTCCCCACATCACCCACGACCGCGACGGGAACCTCAGAGTGCAAGGTCAGGCTAGGTCACTGTGGCTGGTTTAATGGGTGGGAGATTCGTACGAAAGGTCGACTTGTCTTGGGTTTTTGTCTATTGATTTTAATTGTTGATTGAAGGTAGGATGGTTAAATTGGGAATATTTAAAGTTATTAAAAAGAAGGCAGAATGGTGAAGACAGAAATGAGAAGTTTGAGGTGTCGAAAATGCTGGCCTTAAAAAAGAATGATAGATTGTATAAATAGTAGAGCTGGGGTATTTGAGAGATCGATGTTGTAAACGTTAAATATTCATTGACTGCGGAACACTAGAGATAAAAATAGCGCATTTGAGGATTCGAAAATACTGTCATTCAAGACTAATTATATATTATAGAACGGTAAACCTGGAAGTGGGGTCGAAAAAGGTGGCGTCAACGAAAAAGAAAAGAAAAGAAAAGCAAAAAAAAAAAAAAAAAAAAAATGGAAATAGAGCTTGTGTAGGACTGAAAAGCTGATGGTTAAGGGAGAAATAAGTTAGACCAAGAAATAGCATTACGGAGATCGAGAATATCCGCTTATCCACAGATGGCATAAGGATAAAACTAAAATTGGGGATATCTTAGGAATCGAAAAAGCTATTCCTCAGACGCCAGAATAACAGAACTAAAAAAAAAAAAAAAACGCACGGTTATCGAATGCAAAATAACCACACGTAATAAAAAAGTCGACCAAAAAACAAGATAAAATATTAGATAAAAGTAAGACAGCTTTGTATAATCAAATCCTAAATGATTTTCACTGATTTATGAAGACTTTATAAGACTATTGCGCTTCCAGAACCACAAGTAACCATAAACATTTTTCTAATACAAGAAAAAATCGACAAAAAACAAAATGCAGACATGAAAAAATATCAAATAAAAGTAACCACAAAGAATTCACATCAGTGATTTCTGATGCTGTTGGTGTTTCCAAAAACGACTGCGTTTCCAGTAACCACACGTAACCATAAATGCATTTCTAAAGATGAGAAAAAAAACCCAAAAAATAACAAAAGAAAAAAAAATCTTAAAAGCAAAACAGCCTTAGTACACCCATAAAAGATTTCCATCAATGATTTCTGATGATGTTTGGTTTTTTATAAGACTTCATTTCCAGGCATGAAAGTGGAGGACGAAGGCACGTACCTCTGCACGCTGGAGAACCTGTACGATTCCGTCACTCTGCGGGCCACGATCTCGGTGTCTGGCCTCTGTGAGTTTCGTGTGCAGATGTATTATTTAATTCTTCATCTTTCTGTCTATCCACCTATCTATTTGTCTGTCTATCTATCTATCTATCTATTTATCTATCTATCTATCTATCTAAGTAAATCTCTCTCTCTCTCTCTCTCTCTCTCTCTCTCTCTCTCTCTCTCTTTATATATATATATATATATATATATATATATATATATATATATATATATATATATATATATATGTATATATATATATATATATATATATATATATATATATATATATATATATATATATATATATATATATACACATACATACATATATATATATTGCAATTTTTATCCAAATCATTATTATTGTTATTATTATCATTATTATTGTTATTATCATTACTAATTGTTATTATCATTATTTTATCATTATCATCATTATCATTATCATTATTATTATAATTGTTATTGTTATTATTATTATTATTATTATTATTATTATTATTATTATTATTATTATTATTATTATTATTATTATTATTATTATTATCATTATTATTATTATTATTATTATTGTCATTGTCATTGTTATTGTTATTGTTATTGTCATTGTTATTATTATCATTACTATTATTATTATTATTTTTATGGTGATGCTGATTATAATAATAGTAATAATAATAATGATCATAATGATAATACTAATGATAATGATAATAATCATAGCAATGATAGTAGATTCATTCGTATTATCATTTGTATTATAATGATTAGAACTATCCCTGTTATCATTATTATAATTAGCTAAGTCCTCATAATTATCATTTTCACTATTTATACGATTATCTTATCTATCTACACTCATATAAATATTTATCCACACATATCTAAATATTAATCAACACCCATATCTAAATATCTGTATACACTCATTTAAATATCTATCTACATTTATATATCTATATATCTATCTACACATACCTAAATATCTATCTACACATACCTAAATATCTATCTACATTTATATCTAAATATCTATCTACACATACCTATGTATCTAACTCTCCTCCCCCCCACCCCACCCCACCCCCTCTCCCCCCCAGTGGCCCCTCTGATCGCCGCGCCCCCGGACCCCAACCTGAAGGCCACCCTGGACGCCCCTGTCACGCTGCCATGCACTGTCATCATGGCCAATCCGCCGCCCGACCTCGTGTGGCTTCATGACGGCGTGCCTGTCAGGTCGAGCAAAGGTAAGGCCTGTTTTTTTTTAGTAGTTTTTATTTATTTATTATCATTATTATTTTTTTGAGGGGGTACTTTGTATTCTGGTTTTATTTTTTATTTGGGTTTGCTTTTGTTGTTTCATTGTTATTTTGATTTTATGACTTATAATTTTTCCACGAGCTTACCTTCTTAAAGTGAGAGTTAAAGCTTCATTTCTGTTAATCGGATATGAATCTAAATTTATATGTTCTGTAAGCTAGTTTGTTTAATTATAGCTTAAACGAATTTCATGTCTTTTTAAGGGTAATTCCAAAAACAACAGCGGCCTTTTAGTTTATTCGATTATTGGAATGAATTACTATATTAAACATACTTTTTAAATATTCTCATTGTATATTTTGATTACTTTTTAACTAGGTTGATATAAAGATGATCTTACTACTATTTCTTTTTCATTTCTGCTAAAATGTGTTTGATCTCTTTTTATTAAAATAATTGAAGTCAGATTAATAGTCTTCTGCTACAAGGCTTATGTATCCACGAAACAGGCAACTTCAAAATGCATCTATAGATGAAAAAAGATAATTTACCGAGGAATAAACTAACACAAATTTCTGATTACTATTATTATCATTACTATCATTATTATTATTATTATTATCATTATTATTATTATCATTATTATCATCATTATTATTATTATCAGTAGTAGTAGTAGTAGTATTGTACGTAATAGTACGTAATTTACCCTCGCCAAACGCCACACTTCCAGGAATGGTCATCAAGAGCGACGGGACTTTAAGCATCTTCTCCGTGTCAGTGAAGCACGAGGGAGAGTACCAGTGCGTGGCAACCAACGTGGCCGGGAATTCGTCGCAGACTCTCAACCTCAAAATACTGGGTAGGGTTGAAGGATGTGGGTACGACGATAGATGGATGTGGATAGATGGATGTGGATATATTTGGATGCAGATGGGGGGGCGGGGGTATATGGAGGCTAATGGGGGTGTATGTAGAGATAAAGATGTGTGTGATTATAACGAGGATGTGGATATATTTGGATGCGGATGGGGGGGCGGGGGTATACGGAGGCTGATAGGGGTGTATGTAGAGACAAAAATGTGTGTGGTTATAAGGATGTGGATATAATGATGCGAACGTGGATATGTTGAGGATGATGTGGATGTAAGGATGCGTGTGTGGGTCTGGGAATATGGAATATATATATATAAAGAATGTGGGGGTTGTGTAGGATGATAATATGGATGACTTTTTGTGGGAGTTGTGGGGTTAGTGTGGATAATAGACCCCGTTATATATATATATATATATATATATATATATATATATATATATATATATATGTGTGTGTATATATATATATATATATATATATATATATATATATATATATATATATATATATATATATACATATATATATATATATATATATATATATATATATATATATATATATATAGAGAGAGAGAGAGAGAGAGAGAGAGAGAGAGAGACAGAGACAGAGACAGAGGAAAGAGAGAGAGAGACAGAGGAAAGAGAGAGAGAGAGAGAGAGAGAGAGAGAGAGAGAGAGAGAGAGAGAGAGAGAGAGAGAGAGAGAGAGACAGACAGAAAAAGAAAAAGATCAAGAAAAAGAGATACACATACAAATACAACATTTCCGATCACAGTTCCGCCTCGAGCCAAGTCCAAGCGCGTGGAGGACAACGTGGAGGCGCTAGAGGGCGACGTGGTCAAGCTCAAGTGCCCGGTCAAGGCTGACCCTCGACCCACCTTCTTCTGGCACAAGAACGGGCAGCCGATTTCGCGGACGTCGCCGAGGTGAGGATTTTTTATTATCATTTTTATATTTGATTTAGTTTGATTTTTGATTTACGATTTTTTTTATTCATAACTAAGACAATATTCTTACTTTTTATTTTTTTTTCAATTTTATTTTAAATTGTTTGTCAAAGTCAAATTTTGATTTATGATTAACTCAAACTTCTTTATTCTATATTTTGACGATTTCACGAACGTCCCCGCTGATTTTTATAATTTTTTTAAATTTCGATTTTTGTTTTAGTTAATATATATATATATATATATATATATATATATATATATATATATATATATATATATATATATATATTTATATGTATTTGAAATTTATGATTAAAACGAAATTCTTTATTTCATATATTTTCATTGTATTGTAGGTTCTAGGATTATTATTATTTTTTTTATATATAATGATTTCCTTAATTTTAGTAAAAAAAAAAAAAAAAACTAAATTAATTTGACAATGCATATTGGGGGGGATATATCAAACCTATAAACAACGTCATTACTAAAAAAAGAGAAATGAAGGAAGAAAGAAGTGAAGAAAGAATGAAAATAAAACAAAACTAGACAAAAAAGAAAAAAAAAAATCACACACACTAAAAAAAACAACTGAAATAAGACTAAAAAACAAACAAACTAAAACTAGACAAAAACAAACAAACAAAACAAAAACCACATCTCTATCCCCCCCAGAATGCGTGTCCTGCAAGACGGCATCCTCGTGATCCGGCAGCTGCTGGCCGACGACGCGGGGACCTACGTGTGCACGGCCGTCAACGCCGCGGGGGCCACAAAGATCGCCGTCGTTCTGGACGTCCATGGTGAGGAGGGGGAGGGAGGGGGAGGGGGGTTGGGGGAGGGGGAGGGGGAAGGGGGGTTGGGGGAGGGGGAGGGGGAAGAGGGGGTTGGGGGAGGGGGTTGGGGGGTATGGGGAGGGGGTGGGGGTGGAAGGGGGAGGGGAAGGGGGAAGGGGTGGAAGGCGAGGGGGAGGGTGAAGGTGGGGGAGAAGGAGGGGCGGAGGGAGGAGGGAGGAGGAGGTGGTGGAAGGGGAGGGGTAGGGGGAAATGGGGAGGGGGTGGAAGGGGGTAGGGTGGAAGGGGAGGGGGAGGGTGTGGAGGGGGATGTGAAGGGGGATATGGATGGTGTGGAAGGGGGGGGAGGAGGAGGAGGAAGGGGGGGTGGAATTGGAGGGGTAGGGAGTGGAGGAGGAGGAGGAGGAGGAGGAGGTGGAGGAGGAGGAGGAGGAGGAGTAGGAGGAGGAGTAGGAGGAGGAGGAGGAGGTGGAGGAGGAGGAGGAGGAGTAGGAGGAGGAGGAGGAGGTGGAGGAGGAGGAGGAGGAGTAGGAGGAGGAGGAGGAGGAGGAGGAGGAGGAGGAGGAGGAGGAGTAGGAGGAGGAGTAGGAGGAGGAGGAGGAGGTAGGAGGAGGAGTAGGAGGAGGAGGAGGAGGAGGAGGAGGAGGAGGAGGAGGAGGAGGAGGAGGAGGAGGAGGAGGAGGAGGAGGAGGAGGAGGAGGAAGAGAAGAAGGAGGATAATGATAAAGAAGATAATGATGAGGACGAATAGGACAAAGAGGATGATTAGAGAATGATAAAGAGGATGAGGAAGAGGAGGGGATGGCTTATAAAGAGGAGAAGGAGGAGGAGGATGATAAAGAGGAAGAAGAGGAGGATGAGGATAAAGAGGATGATGATGAGGAGGAAGAAGGGGAGGGTAAAGAGGAGGGGAAGAATGATAAAGAGAAGGAGGAAGAAGAGGGGGATAAAGAGGAGGGGAAGAAGGATAAAGAGGAGGAGGAGGAGGAGGAGGAGGACAAAGAGGAAGAGGAAGAGTAATATGATAAAGATGAGGAGGATATAGAGGAGGGGGAGGAAGAGGAAGAGGATAAATAGGATAGTGATAAAAAGGATGATAATGAAAAGGAGAAGGATAAAGAGAGAGAGAGAGAGAAGGAGAGAGAGAGAGAGAGAGAGAGAGAGAAGGAGAGAGAGAGAGAGAGAGAGAGAGAGAGAGAGAGAGAGAGAGAGAGAGAGAGAGAGAGAGAGAGAGAGAGAGAGAGAGAAGAGAGAGAGAGAGAGAAGGAGAGAGAGAGAGAGAGAGAGAAGGAGAGAGAGAGAGAGAGAGAGAGAAGGAGAGAGAGAGAGAAGGAGAGAGAGAGAGAAGGAGAGAGAGAGAGAGAGACAGAGAGAGAGAGAGAGAGAGAGAGAGAGAGAGAGAGAGAGAGAGAGAGAGAGAGAGAGACGGAAATCATCAGGCATTAGATATGATCTTCATCAAAGATTTTTAATCAACCTCATTAGCATCACGAGCGTAAACACTATCACCACAACAACCTAATGATTCTTCCAATACATAAACACCTATATGTTTCTTTAATACACGCATAAAAAATCATACGATATCATGGCATCACACACGTACCTTTATCAATATGATTTCTACATACCTCACCCCCCCACCTTCCCCTGACATATGCATATATAAAGAAAAATCACATGATATATTGGCATCACACGCACAGCCTTATCACCATAATGTCTACATACGCCCATTTTCTCTCCCCCTCCCCCCCCATCCATCTTTCCCAGTCCCGCCCACCATCGCGGAGGGACCCGCCTCGTACACAGTGGGCGAGGGGGAAGTGGTTGAGATCGAGTGCGTGGCTTCGGGGGCGCCTCTCCCCTCCATCACGTGGGTGCGGCAGGACCAGACTCTCCTGCTGGACCAGACGATGCCCGATGGTACGCTGAGGTAGGTGGTGCTGGTATTTATGTTTGGTATGACGTGGGTATTGGCTGGTATTTGGCTATGTTTGGTGGTGTGGTAATGAAAATGATTTGTTGATATAGATATCAAGTATTTTGGAGGTATCATGTTAACTGATTTAATTGTATTTCTAGAGTTGTTTTGATTAAAATAGTACAATTGCCACACCAACATGTCATACATGTCAGTTAGGAACACTGTCATTAATGCGATACATTTCCAGTAACAAACGATTGTACAGATGATACTATTAATAACGATACCAATAATACTAACGATAAACCCGTACATTTATCACACCAAAGCGCCATACAGATAACCGTCATTAATATTATAGTTCCCACACTAAAACGGCATGTACATATTTATGAATGATGCCGTCACTAATACTACACAATATCAACACGTCATGTAGATAATAACAATAGTTTATATCATCACTCATGCTATACAAATCCCATACCAAAACGTCATGCAGATATTAGTCACTGATACCATCATTAATGCATTATGATTCCCATATCTTATCAGTCAATATACCATTACTAATGTACCAAAACGTCATGCAGGATGGTAGCAACAATGGAGAGCGAAGGACAGTACGAATGCATGGTGACCAACGTTGCAGGCTCAGCACACAAGACCGTCGTTGTCCTCATTAGTAGTAAGTTTTGAGGTGTAGGTTATATGTAGGAGCTAATTGTGTTGTCTGCTTTCTAAGTAATAGGTCGTTTTTTTACGTGCTGGTTATAAGGAAAATGTTTTGTTGTGTCAGTTCTTGTTTTTTTTTTTTTTTTTTTTGATATTTAGATACTAGGTAAAAAAAATTGTTGGTTGTTTTTTCGTGTAGCTTCTAAGTACTAAATGACTTTTAATGTTGATTCTAAATATAAAAAGTTCTGTAGTGGAAATTCTCAGTAAAGTGTAGGTTAATCATGCAAATAATTCTGGGTAATGTTCGTCTTATACATTCTGAATTAAGTAAAATTGTATTGACAGATAAAAGTATGTATATTAAAGATACCAAATAAATTGAAATAAAAACAGACATAAAATAACTAATAAATAAGATATATACATGACAAATTGATAAAGAACATAAATAAAAATGAGTTAAAAACACAAATAAAAAATGAGTTAAAAACACAAATAAAAAATGAGTTAAAAACATAAACATAAAAATAAACAAATCGGACAGATAAAAAAATACATCTTTCAAACAGTTCATCAACCTGACCTACTCTTTCACCGCAGAGGCCCCCGAGATCTCCCCGCCCGGCGACGAGACCCTGGCGGTGTCAGCAGGTCAAGATCTCAAACTGCCATGCGAGGTCAAAGGTCATCCAGAACCCGAAGTGTCTTGGAGGCGAAATGGGCTCGCGCTGGCTGCCGATGAGAGGCTGGTGTAGGTTGAGGAAACTTGGGGTTGTTTTGTGAAATAGATTATACACATGAATGTCCATCTGTTAATTAGTCAGTCTATCTAGCTAGCTCTGTTTGAATTTATGTGTATCTGTTTATCTGTTAGTCTGTCTGTCTCTGTCTCTAACTCTCTCTCTCTCTCTCCCTCTCTCTTTCTCTCTCTCTCTCTCTCTCTCTCTCTCTCTCTCTCTCTCTCTCTCTCTATATATATATATATATATATATATATATATATATATACACACATATACACAGACATATATATATACACACACATACATACACACACACATATACACACTGCATATCCATCTCTCTTTCTCTTTCTCACTATCTATCTATCTATCTATCTATCTATCTATCTATCTATCTATCTATATATATATATATATATATATATATATATATATATATATATATATAGTTTTCTATCTATCCGGCTAGCATTCCTTCCTTCCTTGCATCCATACAACCATCAATCTATCTCTGTCAATACGTTCTACATACCTACAGTGCCATTAACCTGTGTGATCATCTATCTGCAGGCCTTCTCCCGGTTACCTGCTAATGAGTGCCGTCACACCTGATCTCGCGGGAAACTACACCTGCAGTGCCATCAACCAGGCCGGAAATGCCCATAAAACATTCGCCATAACAGTTAATTGTGAGTTAGTGTTATGTTATGTTAGAAATCATAAGAAGCTGCAACTTCGTAATTTTTTTGAGAATTAGTTTGTTGTTGTTGTGTTTTGCAGATTTTTCCTCATAGTCTTAGAAGGGAGGATTCTTATTAATTATTCACGATTCGTTATCTCCCAATTCCGAATCCTTTTAATAATTCAAGAACCATTGTCTCGTGATTTCAAATAATTAAATTTTTCAGGTTCGTTATCTGGCAGTTCCGAATTTTTTAAATTGTTTATGATTCATTATCTCGTAATCCCGAAGTCTTCAAATTAATCGCGATTTCTTTTCTCGTAATCCCAAAATCTATCTAATTATTCATGATCCTTTATTTTGTAGTAATCTTAAATCCATTAAATCATTCACGATTCGTAATTTCGTTTAATCCCGAATCCTTCATATTATTCAGGATTCGTCTTAGTCCCGAATCCTTATAAATCTTTAGGATTCGTTATCCCGTAATCCCGAATCCTTCAATGTTATTCATGCTTCATTACGTCGTCATCCCAAATCCTAACATGAGATGTGACAGAAGGGGAATAAAAATCCACACAGATCCCCCGCAAGTGGAGACGGTGGAGGAGACGTGGCCCGAGAGGAGCGTGGTGGAAGGAGGCCGCTTGTCTCTGCCGTGTCCTGCGTTGGCCAACCCTACTCCGACGCGCGACTGGACCAAGGACGGCGTTCGACTCCTGCCCGAAGAAGGTAGGGGGGGTCGGTGTTGAAATGAGCTGTGTTTAAGGAAGTTTGTGATTATGTAACTCTGTATTTAAGTAAGTCTGTGTTTAACTCTTTATTTAAGTAAGTCTGTGTTTAACTCTTTATTTAAGTAAGTCTGTGTTTAACTCTTTATTTAAGTAAGTCTGTGTTTAACTCTTTATTTAAGTAAGTCTGTGTTTAACTCTTTATTTAAGTAAGTCTGTGTTTAACTCTTTATTTAAGTAAGTCTGTGTTTAACTCTTTATTTAAGTAAGTCTGTGTTTAACTCTTTATTTAAGTAAGTCTGTGTTTAACTCTTTATTTAAGTAAGTCTGTCTTTAACTCTTTATTTAAGTAAGTCTGTCTTTAACTCTTTATTTAAGTAAGTCTGTCTTTAACTCTTTATTTAAGTAAGTCTGTCTTTAACTCTTTATTTAAGTAAGTCTGTCTTTAACTCTTTATTTAAGTAAGTCTGTCTTTAACTCTTTATTTAAGTAAGTCTGTCTTTAACTCTTTATTTAAGTAAGTCTGTGTTTAACTCTTTATTTAAGTAAGTCTGTGTTTAACTCTGCATTCAACTATTACTGTTTTAATTACTCTGTATTTCACTAATTTTGTATCTAACCAATTCTGTATTTGACTAATTTTGTATTCAACTACTCTCTATGTAACTAATTAATGTTCACTACTCTGTATTGAACTAATTATATTTTTAACTATTTTTTCTTTTTACAAATTCTGTATTTAACTAATCTATATTTTATTGATTATATTTATCATATTAACTTGATACTTGACTAATTCTATCTACCTAACTCTTTCGACTTTTAATCAACTCTATTTTGAACTATCTTTGCAGTCAAGTAACTGATCTTAAGCAAACCTACTGAATTAAATGTCTTTAACCAGTTCTGCATTTACCTAACTCTGCTTCTTAAGTAACCCTGTATTTATGTAAACATGTAATGAACTAAATATCTAAATACCTCTGTATTCAAACACCCCATTTTTCACCGCGTTAAGCGACTCATGAACCCTTTAAAAGTATATCAAAAATGAAAGCTCCCCGCTCCCTCCAGTTTCAAGTCAAATGAAATTCTCTCTCGTTGTCTTTGGCGCAGGACTGGAGATCCTGGAGAGCGGGACCGTGGAAGTCTCTCGAGCAGAACCCAAGCACTCAGGCAGCTACAGATGCACGCTCACCAACTTTCTCGGTCAAGCACACATTGATTACGACGTGAAGGTCCTCAGTAAGTGTTAAGGAGACATAGGTCTATGTGTAGAAGTTTAGTAAGTTATTAAGTGTAAGCAATAAGTAAGTATAAATAATAGTAAAAGTAATAAGTAGGTATGTGTAAGAAGTATAAGTAGTAGGTAATTAGAAATATTAGGTATAGGGCCTAGGAAGAGTCAATTATGTTTTAAAAATCTTACTGTACATACGGGGGAAAGAAATATCATTGCGTTCTGCTTTACAATTCTGGACTGGAGATTCATAACTAAATATGCACTAACCACAAAAAATAAACAAACAAAAATACAACAACGAAACGAATGAACAACAGCAAAACAACAAAACATTAATTTCTGACACCCTCATGCCCCCAGTCCCGCCCAGAGTGACCCAGCGGCACCGTCCAAGCGCCCCCATTGTCGTGGAAGGCGAGGACGTCGTTATCAACTGCCCGGTAGACGCTGTGCCCATCCCGACCATCACGTGGCTCAAGGTAGGTCACTTAATTGTGTCGTGATGAATGGGGTTAGGTTTAGATAAATTGTGTTCGGTGTTCATTTTTGAGATTTTGTTATTATTATTATTGCTATTATTATAATTATTATGATTATTGATATTATTATCATTATCATTATTGCTGATATTATTATCATTATCATTATTATTGATATTATTATTATCATCATTATTATTGCTATTATCATTATCATTATTATTGATATTAATGTCATTGTTATTATTGTTATCATTTATATCATTATTATGGCACTTATTAATATATAATAATAATAATAATAATGATAATATCATTATCAACATCATAATTCTTATTCTCATTATCATCGTTTTAATTCTATTCGTATTCCAGTACTGATTGTTGTTATCATTAGTAGAAATGTTTCTATCATTATTATCACATCACCTTGATTATTACCATCATCCATTATCATTATAAAAAGCCCTTAGATTGCAGGCCACCATTCAGACTGTCATAAATCGATCTTTCACTCTTCAATTAACAAAGCCTTTGGGTTTCTGGCCACTTGACAGAACCCGTTTTCTTATTAACTAACAAAATCACTTAGATTGCTGGACTCCCGAAACACACAATCATAAGCCTGTCTCCTACCAACTAACAAAACCCTTACTTTGTTGGCCACTCGACACTGATTTTATCCCAACTTACAAAACCCCCTAAATTACTGGCTTACCACTACCAGAAGCTGATTGTTCTCCCGTCAACTAAGTTGCTGGCCCATCGACATTGCCAAAGGCCGATTTTCCACCAACTAACAGACCCTTTTACATGCCACTCGACACATTGTCATAAGCCGATCTCCCACCAACTAACTAACCCCTTCCTTGGTCATTCGACACCCTGTCATAATCCGATCTTTCTCCCCCAGGACGGCGTGTCCATCTTCTCGACGAAGGACCGCGCCGACATGACCCACATCGTCGTCGAGAACAATGGCCAGACGCTCTACATCCTCGAGGCAACTGTGGACGACAAGGGTATGAATTTTTTAAAAGGCTCTTTTTCTCTTTTTTTTTCCTCTTTTATATTACTTTGGTTGTTGAGATCGATAAACATATGAATTTTTAAGGCTGTTGTTTCTTTCTTTTCTTACTGTGATTATTGAGGACATAAGCCTACATCCTCAAATCTATTCTTCTTTTTTCTTACTTTATCTGATTATTTTGATTATAAGCCAGAAGGCATGGAGGGATTGGATGCTCCCTCAGAGATATCTTTTGGGCAGTTTAGACGCATTCTCCACGTATGTTTATGTTGATTAATCCTGTAATAGAACAATCAATAAGTAGAAATACACACTCTTGTGATTCCAGCGAGAAAATGATACATGTAGATGGAAATTTATCGTTTATTACGGTGTCAATTTTAATAGAACGGTATTTACATCACAAATTGATTATTATTATTATTCAAATACTATGCATTACTCTGTTATGGGAGTGCCGAGGTATCTCGGTCGGCTAAGACGTGTCCCTTAACCGTTCCATATATTTTCCTTGATTGCCTCCTTGCGTGTCCCATAACTGCCCCTTATGTGTCCCTTAATCGTCACCCCCAATTCCCTCAGGCGTGTACCGCTGCGTGGCCAAGAACGACGCGGGCGTGACGGAGCTGCTGTTCCCGCTGGAGGTCCTCGTGGCGCCGCAGTTCACAGAGTTCTTCCATAACCCCGACGTGACCTTGCATGCCGGGGAAGAGCTTGACCTCGACTGTGAAGTCAGCGGTGACCCTGAGCCGCAGGTGAGAGGGTGTATTCGTATTAGTGTGGTAGAGGGATGTTTACAAGCCTGTGGTAAATACAAGAAATTAATTTATGGTTTTGGTTTATTTTTTATATCTTGCGTGGTATGAGTGAGGTTGAATATGGGTTTGATAATAGATTAAATTTGGGTGAAATCAGCATCTTCACATCAAAGTCCGTGTATTTAGAAATATCTTACTGATGATGCCAAATTTATTGCAGATTAACTCCTAAGTAAAATATAATTAGATTGTTAATTAATTTTCTCCCATAATGAAAACACCTCCATTCCCACACAGGTATCGTGGAAACGTGACGGGGAGCCTCTGTACGCCCACGTGTCGCCTGGAGGTCGCCGAGTGCACGTACAGCACGCCAAAGTCGGGCATGCAGGACACTATACTTGCACGGCCGTCAACACCGCTGGCACCACGCACAGGAACTTCAGCGTCACCGTCCTCAGTCAGTGTTATCCTTGCGTTTTTCTTGTCACTCAGTGTAGTTGATGTGTATTATCTGATACTGTCTATGAAAGATGTTTTTATGTATGTTCTCTGTGGCATTTCTGCGTTACGAAGTGGAATGTGATGTGAGGTTTATAACACTGTTTATATAGTATGTATTTCCTCAGCTGGGTTTATTTACTAATTATTTGAGTGGGGTGGATGTGTATATTCTACTACTATTTTGTATGACGTGCAAATTGTAGATTGCATATTCTCATGCTAGTTATTTTTGCATTACTATTTTCTACCGTCGATTTCTCGAAAGTACATGCATGGTACAGAAAAAAAACGAAAATTCAATCTTAGTTTGCCATATTTCTATAACACGATTACTACGTATTTTCAGAGGATATAAGATTGAGCTTGATTTTTCGTTTCTCTCAGAACCACCCACGATGGAGGACGGAGGCGCGGACGACCTGACGGGCGTGGAAACAGTGGAGGGAAGGGACGCCAAGCTGTGGTGTCGGGCGGACGGATCACCCGCGCCCGAGATCGTCTGGACGAAGGACCGGCAGCTCATTACTCCTCTGTTAGTTCTCTCTCTTGTAATGGCGATAGGGATTAGTATTATTGAAATGATAGTAGTGATAGTATTGATAAATTACAGTAATGTGTGTAATAATAGCGTTGATAGTAATGATAGTGATAATTATAGAAAATGCTAGTTACGATAGATATGATAATGATGATGATAATGATAATGGTAGCGAGATTAATATTAGTGACTGGCGATAATTAATATATATCATGATTATTATTGTTGTGATAATGATATTATTAATATCGTGGAAGATGATGTCTTCTTTGTGTAAACAAGCTGGTACATATAATCTCATGGATAACTATGAAGGAAATATTTGTTCATTTTCACCAAAACCAATATAGATACTAAACTCCTCGATTGCTATAACTCCATTAACATGAATTAGAAAGTGCCACTATTAAAATACCAAAATCCATATCCTCCAAAATCCCTTTCCTTTCACATAAGAAACGTTTACGAAATGACATTAAACGTTTTTCCTACACTCTGTCTCCGGCGCCACAGGCAGGGAGGGAAATACTCCACGCAGGAAGAAGGACAGATGCTCACCATACACGAGGTTTCGCCAGAGTCCTCGGGTTTGTACGAATGCACCGCCACCAACTTCGTCGGCACCGCTACCCGCATCTTCAACGTCTCCGTCATGAGTAAGGGACACTGATAAAGGGTGACAGGATGAGAGAGGAGTTTGGTCTTGGCTTGTTGAGGGGTTCGTGTGGATTGTGTGTTCGAGTTTGAAGAAAGTGGGAGTGTTAGTTAGAGTGGGAGCAGGAGTGAGAGTGAGAGTGTATCTGTATGCGTGTGCGTACGAGTACGAGTACGAGTACGAGTACAAGAACAAGTACGAGTGCGAGTGTGAGTGTTACTGTGAGTGTGAGTATGTGTGAGTTTATATTTGAGTGCGAATGCGAGTGCGAATGTGAGAGTGAGAGCGAGAGAGACAGAAACAAAAAGAGATAAACATACAGAAATAGGTAGACAGATAGACGGAGAGTACCAAGCATGACAAGCTCTCTTCCCTACAGCGCCGCCCACGATCCGCGACGCGGGCGGAAGCGACGTGGTAACCGACGTGCAGGTGGTGTCGGGTCGGGAGGCCATCCTGTACTGCGGCGTCGAGGGGTCCCCGCCGCCCTCCATCACCTGGCTTAGGGATGGGCGGACCCTCAAACCAGGGCCCCGAGTCCACTTCACGGGCCCCTACGAACTCCTCCTGACGAGCGTGCAGGCGGGGGACGCGGGGGACTACGCCTGCCTGGCCACCAACCGCGCTGGGACGGCGGAGAAGCAGTTCGACATCAGGGTCATCGGTAGGTTTGGATTCTTAGGACGTGGATGTGCGGAGAGCGATGCTATTTTGTGATTTGAATAGTCGTTTTGTGGGTCTGACTGTAGATATATTTTATAAGCATAGATAGCCAATATTCGACATTATGAATATGAATAGAAAATATTCGACTCTTAATTTGAAAAGTCAATATTCGACTCTTAATTTGAAAAGTCAATATTCGACTCTTAATATGAACAGCCACTGTTCAACTTTTAAAAACTTTAGTCGTGAATAACCAAGGGAATTTCGTCACTAGTTCCGGCCACGATAGCGGACGACGAGGATGGCTCTCCGCCGATGCAGGAGGTCCTGGTCGACATGCCCTTCTCCCTCTTCTGTCCTGTAGAAGGCACGCCGCAGCCACGCATCACTTGGACGAAGGTAAAGTAAGCAGGGGTTAGCTCCGATGAATGCCATCTTTATAATTTGTTCCTCGTTTCGCATTCAACGTTGTAAACATGTTGCAGTCTATGTCCTTGTTTTCCAGAATTTAGAATCTGTCTAAACGGGTAGCGTCTGTGTGCCCTAATACCCTTCTAAAGCAGGTCTGTTCGACAGAACTCCGCCCCGCTGGACGGTCTGCTCGGCTTCCATGGGCTGGGCGGGCGGGTGGCGCTCGGGGACGGCGGGCGGCGCCTCTTGGTGTCCGAAGCCGTCATGCAGGACAGCGGGACGTACATGTGCGTGGCCGAGAATGAGGGCGGACGCGACACGGCCACCTACCAGGTCAATGTGTTAGGTGCGTAGCGTAGCGGTGAATTGCGGGAAAAAAGTATAGGTGTTCTGTGGCTGTAGGAAGAGGAAGGAAGGCTTTTTACAAACGGCTCTGGATTTTTTTTTTTTTTACATCGAAGAATTATCACGGCTTATTTGCGCTTGCCTGTAGATATCATAACATTATAAGCTGAAGTGAAATAAGATCCGCAAACGAATAATATATAATGTCATGTTTCTTTTTCTTTTTTTCACAGCACCGCCAGTAATTATACAAGACAAAGACACGTTCCGGTCCGCTGTGGAGGGCGACGACGTGGTCCTCGACTGCGAAGTGGACGGCGACCCTCCGCCCGCCATCGTGTGGCTGCAGGACGGCGTGTCACTGCAGGAACTGTACATGCCGGCCATCACTGTGCACGATGTTGGGCGTGGGAAGGTTAGTCTTTCCTTCAGTTTCCCCTGCAAGGTTCTCTTGAAGTATTATAAATGAAATGGTTGAAAAGACGTTGTTTCATTTGTAAAAGGGGATATCTGCACGCCTGACAGTGGGTGTGTGAAGCTGATTTACAGTTGCGTGATCTGTTTAGATGGGCATTAAAAGCAGTTGTCTTTTTTCATCGCACCTTTAAAGACAAATCAAAATGAGATATAAAAAGATACTATATATTTGTGTTAATGGCTACATATATTTACTAGGGAAGTTAATTTACTACAAAATATCACTTCTTTATAAAGCATTTCATTAGATTTGCTTCCTTATGATAACCCAGAAAATGCAGATAATTCCCTTCCTTTATTAGTATCGAAATTTCTTTTAAATGTACACTCACCTACTCATGTCCTCATGACCTCCCTTTATACCCACATTTCCCCTAATTCTGATACTTTAGTCCCTCTTTTGACCGATATCAAATTATACCTGACGAAAACTCGCCGTAACCCCTCCATCGCAGACAACAAACCATTACATTTCGTCCGTTTGGAATCAGACATCAGACAAATACGGGGACAGACTTACTAATTCTTATACCATACACCCAATAATCTCAACGCATCTGCCTCTTCCTGAAACCAAAAGTCTGAGCTGAGAATCAAGGGCGTGAGCGAAATCCACGCCGGTTCGTACACCTGTATAGCGAGCAGCGTGGCGGGGTCGGACGAACAGACGTACGTGTTGAGGGTAGTGACCCCCCCTCGCCTGGAGGACCCCAACGCCCCCACGTACGTCAGCGTCCGTGCAAGTCGGCCGGCGTCCCTCTCATGTCTCATCCACGCGTCGCCAGATCCGCAGATCTTCTGGTTCAAGGTGATTAAGGGCGGTGACATTTTATGAATGGAATGAGAGGAGTGATTAGACGAATGAATCGGTGAATACGCTCTTAGATTGGTAGATAAATATATATATATAGATGATCATATGAATTAATCATTATATTGACGAATGGATAAGCATATATTTTAATTGATAAAGGAATTAATAATCATGTTTATGATTACTGACTAATGAGTTTTGAATTTTGTAAAAAACCTGCCTTGGATTTTATAGTGGTACAGAAGTCTACGGCTACATACACCACATTTCACTATGTCTTGCCTCCTCATGTAAATCTTCAAGATTATTTGTTTACAGCTCAAGTGTCTGGCCGTTAAATGCATTTTCATGCATGTGTATCTCCCTGCGTCTGTTTGTTTGTCTGTCTGTTTGTCTATTTCTCCTTAATTTGCTTTTTTGATATTCTAACTATGCGTGTATCTATATCTATCAATCTGTCTATCTATCTATCTATCTATCTAACTATCTATCTATTTACCTATCTATATATATATATATGTACACGTCTCTCTTACCATCTGCGTCTATTCAAATATAAACCCTCTGTAGTTCCGTCTATCGATATATCAAAATCTATCGTTACATCTGTATATGTATATTTAACAGTAAACTTATTTTTATCTATTTACCTCTTTACTTTTTCCATATCCTTTTTATCGCTGTACCTCTTATCTTTTCCTTATCCTTTCTTATCTATTTGATCCTTATTTTCTTCATATACTTTCTTATCTATGTACCCTTACCCTTTCTTCTGTATGTACCCCTTATTTTTTCCTTATCCTTTCGTCTCTATATACCTCTTCTTCTTTCTTACCTCCCCTTAATGAATGACTCCACGAATTTGTAGAATAACATGCCGCTGGACGAGGACGACCCCAACCTTCACTTGAGCGCAGGAGGACGAGATCTGAAACTCCTTCAGGTGACGGAGGGCGACGCCGCGAACTACTCGTGTTTGGCTACGAACGAGGCGGGTTCCCTCTCTGTCAACTTCACGCTCGAAGTCCACGGTATAGCGGTTCTGATCCTCTTTTGATCCCTTATCGCGATTCGTTTTTGTTTTCTTGGGTTGTGTCGTGTCATTAATACTTACTTTATTATTATTATTATTATTATTTTTTTTTTGGGGGGGGGGTGAGGGGAGGGATTGAGTTTGTGCCATAATTTTTTATTGTTTTTTTATTAATGGTGTTGTAAGTACTTTTATATCTAATGTATATGTTTAAAAAAAATATATATCTGGATCTGATTCCTTCTTTTCATCGATGTAGTTATTGCTATTTGGGATAAGTGTATCCTGTCTATAAACATTCACTAGCTTTATGTTACTGATTTGATTTTATCCTTATTAATTTATTCATTTATTATTTTTTTCACATCGACGCCTCTCAGTTCCGCCACGCTTCACGGAGTCTGTGGTGGGAGACGTGAACGCCGTGGCTGGGGAGGATGTCGAGCTCTTCTGCCCCGTCCACGCCACGCCCGCGCCTTCCGTGCTGTGGATGAGGGACTCGGGCATCATCCAGCATTCATTTACTGCCACGTATGGATGACACTCATTTTTTTTTGTTTTGTTTTGTGTGGGGGTAATAATTTCCGTTTTTTGGAGAGAGAGGGAGAGAGGGAGAGAGGGAGAGAGGGAGAGAGGGAGAGAGGGAGAGAGGGAGAGAGGGAGAGAGGGAGAGAGGGAGAGAGGGAGAGAGGGAGAGAGGGATAGAGGGATAGAGGGATAGAGGGATAGAGGGATAGAGAGAGAGAGAGAGAGAGAGAGAGAGAGAGAGAGAGAGAGAGAGAGAGAGAGAGAGAGAGAGAGAGAGAGAGAGAGAAATAAAGAGTCATTCTTATATTGTGGTTGGATTATTTTGAGTTATAGAAATTTACAGTATTCTCGTTCCTTAATTCAGTTTATTTCTGATGTTGAAAAACGGCAAGGATTAGATAGATGAAATACCACATAACATATTGCACACTTATCCATCACCATGTATCATTCTTAATAAAGAGTTTCTTCCCCTTGACATATAAAACTTCTCCTGCATGACATTTGCATGGCACTCTGTGACCTCCGGGCGTTACAGGGACCCTCGGCGCCTGACCCTTCAGAACGTGACCAAGGAGGACGACGGGCGATACACCTGCCTGGCGACCAACGAAGCCGGGACCATCGAGCAGGACTTCACTCTGAGCGTCATGGGTACGGTTGTTCACTATTTTTTTCTAGTTATGTGAAGTTGTGATGATTAGTTCTATCACAACTTTGAAGGGTTATTTTGAATGGAAAAATACTTGTGGTTTGGAGGTGTATTGATGAATGAAATAATAGTTTTGGGTATGTGACAAGTAAATCAATTAAATAAGGATAGCCATTATATAAGAAAACAGGAAATAAGATTATTATTTCCAACAAATCAAACAATAAAGGATTGACAACTATAAGAAAATAGAAAATGAGGTTATTACTCCATACAAATAAACGAATAAGCAAAAACAAAAACACCAGGAAAATAGGAAATTAAGTTGTTACTTCATACTAACAACAATCCAATAAGACAAGAAAACAGCGAAAACAATAAACAAAAGGAAAAGAAAGTCATCAAAACGCGTTAACCTTTTCTTCCTCAGTGGCTCCTAAATTGCTGGATCTGGACCAACCCGTCGTGGAGAAATCCGTGGTCCTCAATCGTCCCGTGACCATTACGTGTTTCATCGTCGCCGACCCCCCGCCCACCATCACGTGGCTCAAGGTATCGGGGAGGGAATGCGATTCTCTTTTGTTTCGTGTCAGCTGATTCGGGATGGCTAAGTTCCCTTTCTTTCTGATTTGATTTATTGGGAGGGAATTCGATCCTATTCTCCGAGCTACGTTTAAGGGAGTTATAGGTACTGGGTCTGATTTTTTTTCTTTCAGTTATGTTTCTTGGTCATAGGATCACCGTTCTTTTACTCGTAATGTTCGATGGATAGCTGTGTGCTTTATTTATATTTAGCATCATAATTTACAATTGGCACTGCTTTTGCCCTTTAAATGTTCTTAAAGCTAAACATTGCGTTCAAAACAAATGTGGTTTATCATTTCAACTTTAGTTATACTCAAAAACCTTTATCATCAACTGTATTTTATATGCAGACGTTAACACCTTAAAAAAGTGATATATAAAGTCAAAGCCTCGACTCACTCGAACGCAAAACAACATACCTTACTCCTTCTACACTCCCCCCCTTGCACCTCTCCCCAGGACGGCCACGCTCTATCAGCCCTGCATTCGGGCGTGAGCGTAGACAACCACGGGCGGCAGGTGAGCATAACGAGGGCGCGTGGAGCCGATGCCGGGAACTACACCTGCCTCGCCACCAACGCCGCCGGGACGACCACCCTGACCACGCTCCTCACCGTCCTCACACCTCCCACGTGGGCCACGGTAGGACCTCGGAGTTATTCTGTGATATAGCTTGTTTTTTTGGTCTTAGAAGGGGCAGGGTATTCTGTGTTATTTTATTTATTTATTATTATTATTATTATTATTATTATTATTATTATTATTATTATTATTATTATCATTATATATATATATATATATATATATATATATATATATATATATATATATATATATATATATATATATATATATATTTTTTTTTTTTTTTTTAATTAATTAATTTATTTATTAATTTATTTCTTTTTTCTTTTTTTTTGAGGGGGGGTCTGTACGAGTGTTTAGGAAGTTTAGATACTAATCAAACGTGTCTGTCTTTGTTTTCTTTTTCATGCTTCTCTCTTAGTTTCGAGGTTATTATCTACCAAACTACTTATATGTATATTTGATTCTCTCTCTCTTTCTCTCTCTCTCTCACTCTCACTCTCACTCTCACTCACTCACTCTCTCTCTTTCTCTCTCTGTCTGCCTCTCTGTCTGCCTCTACCTGTAAGATAATATTTAATTCCTTCAACATAAATGTCAACACATGGCCTTGTCACCCAGGGTTCGGAACTGGAGGAGAAGGTGATCGGCGTTGCGGGTGAGAGCCTCGACCTCTTCTGTGACGTCACTGGCACGCCCACGCCCACCATCCTGTGGCTCAAGGACGGTCAGATCATCACGCCCTTATTGGGTAGCAGGAACTTCACAGCGTCGGATAGGTGAGTGATTGATTGCTCTTCGCTTTAGATTAATCGGCTTCGAAATATTTTTTATTTTTAAGACGAGAACCAAGATTTCCGATTCGTCTCGCGGAAGGACTTCAAGATATCATTAAAAGATGACAAAAAAAAAAAAAAACACACACACACAAAAAAAACAGCGACGTGTATGCATAAAATGTATCATAATAAATAACAAAAACAACAACAAATACCCCCTCAAGATAATCCCCCCCCACACACACAAATAACGATAATTACGCAAAAAAAAACTATTTATTTCACAGGTTACTGCACTTTAATTCCCTGGCCCAAGACGACTCCGGGCTGTACAGCTGCATCACGAGCAACGCAGCAGGAACAGCAGAGTACGTGTTCGATGTGGATGTGCTTGCGCCGCCGTCACTCTCCTACCAGCCGAAGACACAGCATACGGGTGGGTTACCTTTTATTTATTCATTCATATATTTATTTATCTGTTTATTTATTTATTTATTTATTTATTTATCTATGTGTCTGTTTATTTGTCTATTTATTCTTTCATTTATTTATTTGTCTGTTTATTTATTCATTCATTTATTTGTCTATTTATTTATTCATTTATTCATTCATATATTTGTCTGTTTGCTTATCTATTTATTTATTCATTTATTTGTCTGTTTATTTATTTATTTATTTGTCTCTTTTTTATTTGTCTGTTTATTCATTTATTTATTTATCTATTTATCTATCTATATATTGTGGTGTTTGTCTGTCTTAAGTAGCTCATGTTATGTGGGGAAATAATGTTCTGTTGTTCTGTGGGAAACGGATGTTCTGCTGTTCTGCGACGGTAGTTGTGGAAGCAATAAATATTGGCGTTGCTGTGTTTGTGTTAATTAGAACGTGTTTATGCTATTAATTGTGAATCATAAAATGATATCAATTTTGAGTATTAACATCTCTCATCGAAAACCTATATTAAAACCACCAATTTAAAAAAAGAATCATCCTAATATCTATATAGCATATAACCTTTCTTGTAACAAAATAAATACACAGAAAGGCCTAAAACTCTAATCTCCAATCCACAATCACCAATAATCCCACACGATCATTGATACATAAGAAACGACCTCATAAACTTCTCATCATTTTAAGAAAGACCTCATGACCTCATAATCAACCGTACAACTTCCTACCCCTAAGAATAGACCACATACCCTAATCCTTATGCGGAAGATCCTCATAACCTAATCTAAGAGACGACCTCATAGCCTGGTCCCAATGCGAAAGGATCTCATAACCTCCTAATCTCAGAAAAGACCTCACAACCTAATCCTTCTAAGAAACAACTACAAAACGTCTCAGACCTTCTAAGAAACGACCTCATCATCTCCCTAATCCTTCTAAGAAACGACCAGTTAACCCCCTAACCCTCCTAATCTTTTCAGTGCTCGTGAACCGCGCCCTTAGCCTGGACTGCCCCGTGGAAGGCAACCCCGAACCGGAGATTAAATGGTTCATGGACGACCAGCCTGTTAACGCCAAGGGGCAGTTCGTGAGGCTCACCAGTCAGGCTAGACAGCTGCACTTGCTCAGGTAGATGTGGGTTTCTTGGTATGTGTGTGGTTGGGGGGTTCCTGGCACGGAGGTGTGGGTTTCTTGGTATGTGTGGTTGTGAGATTCCTGGCTCGGAGGTGTGGGTTTCCTGGTATGTGTGTGGTTGTGAGGTTCCTGCCACGGAGATGTGGGTTTCTTGGTATATGTGGTTGTGAGGTTCCTGGCACGGTGATGTGGGTTTCTTGGTATATGTGGTTGTGAGGTTCCTGCCACGGAGATGTGGGTTTCTTGGTATGTGTGGTTGTGAGGTTCCTACCACGGGGAAGTGGGTTACTTAGCATGTGTATGGTTGTGAGGTTCCCGACACGGAGATGTGGGTTTCTTGGTATGTGTGGTTGTGAGGTTCCTACCACGGAGATGTGGGTTTCTTAGCATGTGTATGGTTGTGAGGTTCCTGGCATGGAGATGTGGATTTCTTCGTGGGTTTCTTGGTATGGGAGGTTTCTGGTACGGAAATGTGTTTTTTTAAAAATAAAATGAGTGATGTGTGTATGTGAGGTTTCTTATAGAATAATATGGATTACTTTACAGCGTATGGTATGGTCTTGTTATGAGATGTGTGGTATGTAAGGTTTTTGATACGAAAATGAGGGTTTCTTTGCAGAATATGTGTATGCGAGGTTTCTTATAGAAAAATATGGATCACTTTATGGCGTATGTTGTGGTCTTGTTATGAGATGTAGAATGTGAGGTTTCTGTGGATTTCTTCATGGTATCTGGTATTGTGTAGTATTGAAGAAGAAACCGTAGGTATTGGTGGATGTATGATGGATTATGTAAATACTTTTTTGTAAGGTTTTGTATGATAATAGGTTTGCATCTAAATGATTTGTAAGGGTGAATGTATGTATGTATGTTTTTATGTATGTATGTATGTATGGATGGATGGATGGATGAATGTGTATATGTATATATGTATGTATGATTATATATATATATATATATATATATATATATATATATATATATATATATATATATATATATCTATATATATATATATATCTATATATATATATCTATATATATATATCTATATATATATATCTATATATATATATATATATATATATATATATATATATATATATATATATATATATATATATATATATATATATATATATACATATATATGACTGCCGCGATAGCTCAATGGTTAGAGCACTGGACTCCGACCCTCGTGGTCCCGAGTTCAATTCCCCGGCGGTCGTAGGGGAAATCACCGCCGCGGCCGAAACGCGGTTGATTAGGAAGGGCATTCAATCAGGCAACGGTGACACTGCCATGTAACCTCTCAATAGTGATTTGAGAGAGGCCGATGTCCTGCAGTGGAATGAATGGCTGTTAAAAAAAAAACAAAAAAACCCTGATACATTAGCTTGTAATGAAACTACTTGCCTTTCTAATAAATTTCTCTTAGCTATAACCTATCCAAAAATAACAATGTAATGCGTCATTTGAAAAAAATAAAGGCATCCTTCACTATTTTAGAAACACAGGAAATCGTTATCACCATATCATTCCTCCCAAAAGTGTTAATCTATTCTTCTTTTTTGCCCAGAGTACTAAGCTCCAGTGAAGGCAGAGTGACATGTCTCGCCACGAACGCAGTAGGATCCCTCGTCACTAATTACACCCTAGACGTGCTTAGTCCGCCCGTGATCACGCCCACGCCGGCCACGAAGAAGGTGCGAGCTCGAGAGGGCGATTCTGTGACTCTCACCTGTAGGACCCGAGGCCACCCACGCCCCCAGGTAAGAGTTTGGGCTTCTTGGATGGGAATGGGTCGTCTTGGGGGGGGGGGGGGTACGTATGTTCTGTCATGTTTCTTCTCTTACAATAGAGTCCTTTTGACTATATGTTTTTGATATGTGATATGTCTTTTGATATGTGTATGTATAGTGTGCATTTCACATGGGTATCTAAATGCCGTCTTTGGCAATGACTCAAAGCCACTATCCCCAGGTAACACGTACCAGGGAAACAGAACTAAACAATTAGATCATAAAACCCAGTTCAGTGGTTCTGGTTAAGGTTATGGGTATTTAGCCATGTAATTTGCGAATATGCAAGGTACAGTGCAGTAATACAACACAGATGAATCCAACCAAACATTCATAGTGGACACTAGCACAACAGAGCACGAAGGAATCTCTGATACTTCCCTATAGGTTGCGTGGGTTGGCGACCAAGGAAAAGTCCTGACGGAGGAAGAGATGGCAAGGAGTGGCTTTGACCTGCAGGAGGAAGGAGAGTCCCTCGTGATCAAGAAGGTGGACGGGGCTCACGAAGGGCGTTACACCTGCATCGCCTCCAACACGGCTGGGTCTGCCGAGGAGACCTTCAACCTGCAGGTCTTGTGTGAGTTAGAGCTGTGAAACCGCGTTTATTTCAGCTTTTTCCTCTTTTCTGTGTTTATTTATTTACATACTTATCTATTTCTTTATTTCTGAAAAAGAAATTCTAATCTGTAGATGAAACGGCAAGTGGATTTAAACTCGAAACATCACACAAATAAGACAACATAAACTTCCAATTTCATTACGGTATTCGCAATTGCCCAGAACACAGCCAATATAAATGCCCGAAGGAAAGCTAAACTGACGACACACTCCCTCTTCCAGTGCCCCCTGTGATTCAGGTTCCAGAGCAAGGGGCAGTGTTAGGCGTAGTGCAAGGTTCCTCTGTCACACTCACCTGTATCGTGGACGCCAGACCCCCTGCCACGCTGTCATGGCAAAAGGTATCATTGCCTAGTTTAAGAACATTTTTAGATAAAGTGGTTCTATATGTATTGTGAATGCAGTTCATGTTGGTGGTATATATTTAGTAGAAGGAGGGATGTCATATGTCGGAGGTACTTTGTGAATACATTTTGCTGAAGTGATTGGCGTTCCTAGGTTATTACGTTGATTTGGATAAAAATATTCAAATTCTGTTGCACGGCCTTTGTTGAACATGCTATATTTATCACTTCATGATCAAAATAGTGTCGTGAAGCAAAACCACCACCATTAGCCACATAGGACGAACCCATTGACCATGAGCACAAACCCATTAACCATCACCAACCCCACTAATACAAACCCATTAACCATTAGCACCCTCTTGAACCTCGCCTTACAGAACGGACAAACTCTAGACAGCAGCCGAGATCCCTTCCTACACGTAACTGCAGGAGGTGACTCTCTAAGTTTCCTGAGGGTGCAGCCACAGCACGCTGCTAACTACACCTGCGTCGCCTCCAGTGCTGCGGGACAGGATTCTCTTACTTATGATCTCAATGTGAATGGTTAGTTATGTTTGTAATGTTAGTTATGTTAGTGATGTCAGTGTTGTGCATTGCTAATGTTAGTATTGTTAATGTTAATAATTTACGTTAATTATGTCAGTGTTTATGATTAGTAGTGTTAATATTGTCAGTGTTAATGATTGGTAATGTTTACAATGTTAGTGTTAATGATTAATATACTAATATTGTCAGTGTTAATGATTGGTAATGTTTACAATGTTAGTGTTAATGATTAATATACTGATATTGTCAGTGTTTATTATTACTAATATTAACGATGTCAGTGCTAATAATCAGTAGTTTGTTACTGGCCAGTATTGGAGTGATCACAATAATGGTAACTGGTAATATTAATGATCTGTATTAATGGTTAATTAAGGATCCTTTGATGTCTAAAACTCATTTACTTTGTTGATAAGTGATGATGATAGTAGTAAAGACAATGGTTGTTATTAGTTTTATTGTTTTATAGGTATTTCTATTGCTTTCATCATTAGCATTTTTATCGTCATTTACATATTCCTTCCAGTCCCCCCCGTGATCATTGAGGACATGGTAGAGAACGTACTTGGAGGAGGCGTGGGCGGAGACACCATGGGCATCGTGGGCGGCGAGGTGGACCTGGAATGCTACACCATAGGCACGCCCACGCCCACTCTCACCTGGGAGAAGGATGATGAAGTGAGGAAGGATATATTTGGATGTGTATTCGGACAGGTTTTGGTATCATTTTTGATTTGCCAGGAGTCTTAGCTTGTTCTTTGGGAGAGAAAACATTTCCCTTCAGTTTTCTGTCATTTGCTTGTGTTTCTCTGTCTCTCTCTGTCTTTCCTCTTCCCCCCTCCCCTCTCTCTCTCTTCCTCTATCCCCCCATTTCTCTCTCTCTCTCTCCCTCTATTCCCCTCCCTTTCTCTCTCTCTCTCTACCATGTGTCTTTTTCATTCTGCCTAATGAACCGTCATGTTAAATAAATAATAAACATATATGGAAAGATAGATACAAAAATAAACAAACAGCTAAACAAATACACATAGACAGATAATTAAACAAACAGAATAAACAAATAAGCCTAAATAAAATAAATTAAACCCCGAACGAGTGCCACCGCATCACACCACCAACGCCATCTCTTGGTGTCTCAGGGAGTCGAGCCGAGTGACCGCATAACGCTACTCGAGAACGGCCAGGTGCTGAGGCTTAAGTCAGCGATTACTGAGGACTCGGGGCGCTACACCTGCACGGCCACGTCTCCTTCAGGATCAGCGTCGAGGGACTTCGTTGTCGTTATTCATAGTGAGTTTGGATGAGGGGCGTGGGGAGATGAAGGGGCGCGGTTTGATTTTTTTTTTTTTTTTTTTTTTTTGGGGGGGGGGTGAATTTGTGGATCTTATTTAATTCGTTGTTGTTCTTCTTTGATTATTGCTATTATGGCTATTATTATTGTTATCATTATTTGCTATTATTATTGTTATCATTATTGCTATTATTATTGTTATCATTATTGCTATTATTATATCACCATCATAATTATCATTCCCATTATCATTATTATTATCATCATCATCATCATCATCATCATCATCATCATCATCATCATCATCATCATCATCATCATCATTACCATCATCATCACCACCATCACCATCATCTTCATTCCCATAGATCATCACCATCATCCCTCCCATAAACATAATGATCCTCCCCCCTCACCCCCCAGGTCCCCCCCGGATCATCCCCCCGCGGGAGACGAACCTCGAGGTGGTTCTGCACCAGCCTGTCGCCCTAACGTGTGAGGCGGAGAGTTCGCTTACTCCCGCCGTGTCGTGGTCTCGTCACGGTCGACCAATCACGCCCTACGTGGATCCGAATCTCCAGGTGGGTATGTGGGTACGGTTTGGTTGGCTGTGGCGTTTTATCCACATGGTAATATGCCTTTTAGAGCATTGTAAGATAACCTCGAACCTTAAATACTCAGAGATAAAGCTCCAACAAGTTTTCCAGTCACTTATCCAACAATTTCTCTGGTCATTTATCCAACTTCTCCAATCACTCATCCAACTTCTCCAGTTACTTATCCAACAACTTCTCTAGTCACTAATCCAACTTCTCCAGTCACTTATCCAACAACTCCAATCACTTATGCAACAACTTTTCCAGTCATTCATCCAACTTCTTCAGTCATTTATCCAACTTCTCCAATCACTTATCCAACAACTTCTCCAGTCACTTATCCATCTCTCCAATCACTCATCCAACTTCTCCAGTCACTTATCCATCTCTCCAATCACTCATCCAACTTCTCCAGTCACTTATCCATCTCTCCAATCACTCATCCAACTTCTCCAGTCACTTATCCAACAACTTCTTCAACTTCTCCAATCACTTATCCAACCACTCATCATACCCGACATATTCTCCAATCACTTCTCCAACAGCCTATCCAATCACCTATCCAACAACTTAAACCAACAGCTTATCCACCATATTCCCCAGCCATTTACTCATTAACATATCCAACAACATACTTCCGAATAAACAGTAGTCCCCAAGTTATCCTGTCCCCTTCTTCGCAGGTGAGGACCGGGGGCCGGGAACTACACCTGCGTCGGGTACGTGAAGGTGACGGGGGCGCCTTCACCTGCATCGTGATGAACAGTGCGGGACAGGATACCCTCACCTACACTCTCACTGTACAGGGTATGTGTGTGGTTCAGGTTGTATGTAATGTTATGCTATTATTGTATGCTTGGGTTGGTGTTGGGTAGAATGTAGGCTGGTCGTTTAGAATGTTAGGTGAGATAAATGAAGAAGAAAATGTATGGTGTGGAATTAGGTGTGGTGTATAAAATGGTATTGAATATAATATAATAAAGTAATATAATATAATATAATATAATATAAAGTAAGGTGTAGTGTATAAAATGGGATTGAATATAAAGTGTAAAATATTGTGTATTTTGTGTCAAACGAATGTTACTGTAGATATCTAATACATTCTGGATGTAACTGCTTCGTAATAATAATGTCTATCGCATCACTAAAATTACCCAGGAAGTATCCTCCCTTATCTCGCAGTCCCGCCCGTGAT